TTTTAAAGATTCCCGCTTTTAAAGATTCCCCGTTTTAAAAATTTCCGCTCTTAAAAATTCCCCGGTTTTAAGATTCCCGCATTTAAAGATTCCCGCGTTTAAAGATTCCCCGTTTTAAAGATTCCCGCTTTTAAAGATTCCCCGTTTTAAAAATTCCCGCTCTTAAAGATTCTCCGTTTTAAAAATTCCCGCATTTAAAGATTTCCCGTTTTAAGGATTCCCCAGCCCATTCCCCATTCCCCATTTCTTGATTCCCCATTCCCTATTTTAAAGACAGCCCTAGACGGCTACTGTAACCTTGAACCTGGCTGAACATGATTAAATATGTATAACATCCTGGTAAAGAAAGAAACAATTTTCGCGTACGTCATAGTAGATCATTGTAAAACTGAAATTTTTTACGGGAAACAAGTTTTCAGAAGCAGATCTTCTTTTTAGAAAAAAAGATTTCAAAAATATTCTGCTTTATTTTATTTGCTTTCTAAATATGTTTCCCACTTGGCTAAATTGAAAAATAAAACATATTTGCGTAGCAATTCATGCTTCCTTGATTAACGAGGCCCTATTATGAAGAAAGTGAAAGTAATTGGTTTTTGGTGTAGTTACGATATATCTAGTGTAACGGGGAAAACTAAAACTCTTCTCGAGGTAACTGGAACACTTTTCTTTCGCTAACTTACTGTTTAATCATCATTAAGTTTCGTCATTTCATATTTGCATTTGGGAACAATATGATTCGAAGGACGGAAAGTGCATCGCATATACAATTGATTATGTTTCAACACCGACCAAAATCTTCGTGAAAACTGCTCAAAACAGCAAAAAGGGAAGAAAAAAAGCAACATATGAATGTTTTTTATGATATGTATTTACCGRTGATAARATTTTTTCAATTAAGAAGATCAAAACACGAAGGGGGCTGATAACAAAGTTGTTAGTATACATTCAAGATGCTGAAGGTGATTTTTTCATTAAAATTACCTGATGGAGCATTATTCAAGGTTGCCAAACTGGTCATGAAAATGTGGCCGCCAACATTGAGTTTCAATGTTTTAGGGAAAAGATTCTGCTCAGGCTTTTTTGCTGACTCATCATGAGCTTCCATTTCCTTGCAAACTCTGTTCGTCTCGCAGTTTAAAATGTCATAAGCGAACTTAAGCAGCCACGCTTTTGAGACGCGGACGCTAACCGCAAGTTCTCCTTCCAGGTGTTCACTACAGCTTTTTGGTCAGCACAGTTTGGTTTAAAATACACACACGACGACTTTGCGGTTGATCCCATGGCGTCAAAAGCACGCCAGAATTAGCTCCATTCCTCTTCTGGTTGCCGTCCGCGTCTCAAAAACGTCGCTGCTTAAGTTCGCTATAGACTTCTTTGACGCGTCTGGTCACATCCTGGAGCAACTCGATACTGTGAGAACTGACATCTACTTCTGAGTTCCTCGACGAAGTCATCTTGCTTGCAAGAATCGAAAAAATTGAGGGAATAAAACTTGACCACGAATAATAACTAAAGTAGATAGAGTCACTTAACTGTTCTGCTTCTTTCAAAACTTTCTGAACTCTGGACTATTTGGAACTCGCGATTTCGCGGAAATTTCTCTTAAGTTCATAAATTATGTATTGATGTTTTTTTATAGTTAGTACACCTGTTAATTAAATGAACTACGTCAAGGCTTGTGCATCTCGAAAAGTTAAGCCTAATTTTTCAAGTTCGTGGTTAATTTTGTCAAGGATTCAATCAAATGTCAATCTTCTCCATCCTTAACCATTCTTATTCCTTTATGGTTTATTATTATATCTTTGATGTTTTTTTTTGTTTTGTTATTAATAACCTATTCTTTTCTCAAGAAGGGAGTGTTTCATTATAAGAAGTAAACAACAGAGGGATTTTTCCCTCCATAACAATTACCATTAAGTGTATAGAAATGTTCAGTACAAAGGGAATGTCAGGTCAACCTCATGACACCTCTGATGGAACTTTCCACTCATTGCAAACCGAAGATAATGACCCAACTAATGACTGACCAGAGCTGCAATCTAGTGACTCAGAAGACGATGCGCAATCAGATTGTTCGAAAATAGACGGCTTTGTCGAACATAGTTATGAGGTACTGTTTGTCCCAGAAGCTGATGTCCAACGTGTTTCACTGAGTACTACAGAGAGTAGTGAATTTAGGTATATTTAAGTATAAATGTAGAAAGGGGGTCGGGGGTCATAATTTTTGGGAGATGAGGAGAGGGGTCAAAGCTTAACTTGCCTTTATTGGCAAGGGGATACTGCATAATATTTCTTTATGTGAGTCTCATTTTTCACCCCCCCTCCCCTCCTCCTGACAATTATTGCACAGTTCCTTACTGTGTTGTGTATTAATCGAATTTTTCAGCCGTTTAGGTCTTTTTTTTGTTATCTTTACTTTCAAAGAAAGAACTGAACCACGTCATCTTTCCAAATTTTTACCATAAAATCTCTCCACCATAAATCTCTCGCTCATGAATCCTGCCAGCTACGCATGCTAACAGCAAGGTGGTTTCACAAACTTTATCTTAACAAATCATACTCTGTATGACAAGTGTAATTAACTTACCAACTATTAAAAGACTTAAAAACCTAACTCAAGATATGTTTGTTTGCAATCCATTCTTCAGTCAGAACGTGAACTTCTTACTCGTCAATCACAAAAACTTCCATTTCACTGACAGTAAAGTCTTTTTTTCCTGTGAGGAACGTGGTACCATATTGGCCGGTTGGGCACTGGTACGAGTTGTTTAGGCTTGCCCAGCAGTCGTTAGAATTCGGTTCACTGACAATAACAAGATCATGGCCACGCCCAAATATTGGCCCACAGTCACTGCGGCAATAGATAGCATATCTCTCTTTTTCAGGTTTCAAAGGCATCTTTGTTGGTGGCAGACCGCTTGGGTTGACAAGACTGAACAAGAACGAGCCTGGTGCCTTTCTCCAATCACCAGAAGCTAAGGAAAAAGGAAATAGCACTCACCACGAATTCATCCACTGTTAAGTGGTATCCTTAATGTCCCAAGTAGTAACAGGGTACCACAGGGAAACACCGATACACAGAAGTGCCAAGTACCAACTCCGATACAGACAAAGCGCTAATTTTGGCTTTATTGCAAACAGAGGTTCTTACCTTTCCACTCCTGTTCGGTGTAGCCTCCAAATATATAATTTCCACTCTTGATCACTGTCACAGTCGGTCCCTTGTTGTCACAACAAGAGTGAAAGTTGGATGCAGCCCAGCCATTACGCGAGGCACGATATAACAGTTTGTCGCTAGCCATTGTAATGTCTGTGAGGGCCCCCGTCTCTTTCAACCAGTTCATCAAAGTTCGGCTTTGATCCGATGACAATATAACAGAATCCTGAAAGGGTCTTG